TAAATAAATATTTTTTTAAAAAAACAATGTTTATAATGAGCTGATCTGAAAACATTACATAAGAGTTCCCAAAATTAATAGCCCTATGCCATGATTCCCAATCCTGGGGAATTTCAGAATCATTTTGGGAATATATTGGTTTCTTAATGCAGCTATAACAAATTACCACAAGCTTATTGGCTTAAAACAACAGAAATTAATTTTATTATAGATCTGGAGGCTAAGAATCCAAACTGAGTCTTATAAGGCTAAAATCGGGTGTTGTCAGACCTGGTTCTTCTGCAGGCTCCAAGGTTATATCTGTTCCTGGTTTCTTCCAGTGTCTTGTGATTATCAGCATTCCCTGGTTAGTGGTCACATAACTCCAATCTCTGCTTCCATGATCATGCCTTTCTCCTTCTGTTGCCTAACCTACCTCTGTCTCCCTCTTATTGGACACTTGTGATTGCATTTAGAGCTGACCAAAGTCAGTCTGGACAGTTTTTCTATCTCAGAATCCTTGACTTAGTCACATCTGCAAAGCCCCTTTTGCCACATGATATAATATTCAGTTTCTAGGAATTAAGACCTGGATATTTTTAGAGACCACTGCTCATCCTACCACAGGGCAGGTGGTTTCCAAACTACATTGATCCCTGGAGCTGTCTCACCTACCCCTTCCCCTCATAGAGAATTGTCACCATTGGAAATCTGAAGGCCACTGATCTGAGCCTCTATTTGACATTTGGAATAGGAAAAAACAACTAAGAATCACTGCCTGAGATATAAGTACACTATCATCTCTGGTCATTGATTAAATATCTGTGAAATTTTAATATCTGAATAATAAGTCGTTTCATAAAATATGAAATGATTGAATGAATAATGTGCAACAGATACTGTGACTTCTGTTCAGGGTTTGTTTTCCCCCTAGGTTTTCTGTCTTGACAAGAGTTCCTCCAAATGTACCTGAGAACATACATTTTAGCCACTTAGTTCATGTTTCAGATAAAAGATCAGATGTAAATATGTGCCACTAGCACTTAAAACATGCTCAAAACCAGGAAATTCATATAACACTAAGCTGAAATCAAATGCATTTCATTAGTCATTATAAAATATTATTGGTAATGATAAAGTGAAATTGATTCCTAATAATTTAATCCTGCTAAGAATTAATAAGAATTAACTAACCACATTCTAATCCCAGCACAAATATATTTTGCAAAAAAGAATAATACAAAATAAATATCCTGCAACTGTACAACACCCTCTGATATGCTCACACCTTTGTTTTTCCACAAGATTTTGGTTTCCCTTGCCCCTTCTTGTCACACTAATTCTTCAGTTTTCTCTACCTCAATTAGCTATCATATTATATGCACACTCTGCACATTGTTGGGGATTCTTTGCTCTGCTCATATCCAGAGTGCTCTGTCGTTGGCTTCCCAACTCAACTGTTGATGAAAATCAGTGAACTGGGTTCTAGACTTACTCGCCACCAGGACTAGATCTCAGCACTGCTGTAGAGTAAGCAAAGGTTCTTTTAAGAGATTTTATTGATCAAACCTGTCCAGTGGCTCCTCATCATTCCTGAGAGGAGTTCAAGCTTCCTAAAAGACAGTGGAGGCCCTTCTACTGGGGTACATGCCTAACTCCCAAGCCATGTTTCACAGCTCCCTTTTGGGGTACTGGAATTCTCAGCCGAGCACTTCCCAAAGCTTGTCAGAATAGTTGTCATTGCACCTGAAATGTCTCTCATCAAGTGCAGCATTTTATTTATTATTATTAAAAACTGCATTTGGAATCAGAAGCTCAGTCAGGCTTCTCTGAAACAGTACTTTGACTCTGGAAAATCCCTCCTCTTATATGTTTTTACTGTTTTTTACACACATTGCTTTTAGGGAACTCCTGATCCTCCACTTACACTTTGTTCGCATTTCTGTGTTTGCTTATTAAAATGTGAGTTTCCCCAGCAAGCTGACTATAGAACTGAGACATAAAGCAAATAAGGGAGCGGGGGGGCAGGGGGGGGGCGCAAATTGGGGAGGGATGAATATGGTGATGGTTCATGGGGGAATAGGGTGGTGGGAAAACTATGGGGACTACAATGATATAAAAAAATTAATTAATCAAAAGTAAATAAATTAAAAAAATAAAAAGTGAGTTTCCATATCACACTACAGTTATTTACATACTGTCACTTCATAGCACAATTCCATTACATATTATTAGATTTCCAAGGACTAAATGCAGAAATTTGCTTCTACCCTCTCCCTCCTTATAAACCTACTTCAGGAAACACTTGCTATGATTCATTTATACCTAGGTGAGTGTGTGTGTGTGTGTGTGTGTGTGTCTACACACACATACATACATACATAAAAGTTCATACTCAGGACTAGCCACTCTTTAATCTGTAATCCTAAATGTAAAATAAATGTAACTCTCCCTATTAAGTTAAGTACCAGATGCAGCACACTAGTAAAGTTTTCATGATGTGTCTAAGCATAGAAACCTTCCTGACATATTGAAAACACACCTCAAAGTGTCCCTCTCTACCTTACAGAAAGCAATATAATGTGTGATGCACAGTCTGCAGAGTTCCAGGGTCAGACTGGATCTATGCTCACCAGCTGATGACTGAATTATCTTTATAACACCTAAAAAGCAGGGGCAAGACCAATATTTGAGCACATGTAGCAAACTCCCAAGAAGTCCATTTCAGTTCTCACATGCGTCTTTTAAAAAATGATGCATTTTGACACTTTTGAGCCTTCTGGTCAATAATAAATCTAATTGCAAAATAACTAAGGGAAGATATGCATCATTGCTAGGTTTAAATTAAAAACCAAGGTGCACAAATCACACTGGGGTGGGGAGCACCTTTTACTTTTTAATTTGAGACTCAAGAACGCTAGCTACTTTAAAACATACATATCTAGAATTATCAAGATTAAAACAGGAAACTGAGCATAAATTACCACGGCAGGAAACTGATTAGTTCATCAAAGAGATGGTATGTTTTTTGTCTTTACTGTTGACAGAGTTAATTCTTTGGCTTCTCCAAGGGTCAACTACTCTAAGATAAAGGACTACAAAGTTGCCTCGTGAAAGTAGACTTAAGAACAATTAATTAGTGCAGGAATTGGGCCTCCCTGGTGGTGCAGGGGTTAAAGACAGCACTATAAAGCTATCACCAGTCACTGCAACAATAGTTCAATTCCCCTGACCAGTCAGGGAGTAACCCACATGGCGCGCCAGACCTCTCCTACTTTGCCCACTGCTCCCCTCCACAGTGTATTTCAGTAGATCTACCTGTTCTGTTCCCACTCTTTCTGATGAATCCTCTCATCCCCCTGCATCTCTGGCTTATACCCCAGTTCTTGGATGCATACATAAATAAATCTTAAAAAAAAAAATAAGTGCAGGAATAACACAAAGCACTGCCTGAAGTTATAAGGAAGCTGAAATCAGTTAGCAAAGGTGGGGGGTGGGGATAAGGAGAGGCAGTCAAGTAATATGGTGCAAGATACCACTGTGATCTATATAAACTATCAGAATAAGTAGCTGGTATACTTTGAAGGAGTGCTTTTTGCTTCTTCAGGATAAACTATCCTGTGAAACCTGGACAATCCAAATTGGATTGCTTGAAAATATGCCTAACTATGTTCCTCCACACATCATCCTATGATAGGCAAAATAATGGCCCCACAAAGCTATCTACACCTATTTTCCTGGAACTGTGGATATGTTACTTTACATCGCAGAAGGGACTTGCAGATGTGATTACAATTAAGGACCTTGAATTGGGAGATTATTCTGGATGACCCAGGAAGTCCCACACAATCACAATGGAGATTTTTTCCCAGATGGGTACAGAATCAGAGGGACATGTGGCTCTGGAAAAGTGATCAGAGAGATGTAATGTTGTTAACCTTAAAGATGGTGGAAAGAGTACACAAGACAAGTAAGATAGAAGGCCTTTAGAAACTGGAAAAGACAAGGGAAAAGATTCTCCTCTAGAGCAATGGGAGAGGAATGTATCCCTGCAGGTACTTGTTACCTCAATTTAGCCTGGTGAGATTCATGTTGGACCTGTGAGTACAATAACTGATAGATAACAAAATTATGTTGTTTTAAGGCAGTAAACGCATAGCAATGTGATTAGTTGCAACAGAAAAATAATACACATCCATACTCTTTCAGAAGTTTTACTGAAACAGGAAAAATGATACAAACTGAAACGACCTGTCATAAACTCAAAATTGACCACTCAATGGGTGGATACCCTAATATTTGTGCATGACTTATTTCTAAACTGTTTCATCTAGAGGCAGAAAAGGTCCAGAAATAGAGCAAATTTCAAAGAGATAATGAAAGACTTAGTGAACACTGACAGAAAAAAAAAATCTTGACAAATTATCAACTCCCAATGAATTCAGCAGAAAACATCAATTTACTTCAAAGTATATTGTGCAAGAGTAGAAAACCCTTTTCCCTGCTACATTTCCTAATTTCCTTCCCCTTCTTCCCCCAAAACTGACTTTGAGGTATTATTTAGATGCAGTTTTATAAAATTTAAAATTTTTAAATTTAATTTGCTAATTTAAAATTTAATTTGCTAATTGAAACTTTGCTGTTATTGAACAACAGGGCACTGATTTACACTTCAGGTCTCAATTTACAGCTCATTGATTAAAAAAAAAAAAAAATAGGGCCTTCCTGGTGGTGGTGCAGGCAGTTGAGCGCAGCACTGTGAAGCTGTCTGCAGCCTCTGCAGCACGGGTTTGATAACAGCCGGCCAGCGAGGATCCCACATGGTGTAGAAGACCTCTCTGTCTCATCTGCTGCTCCCCTCAGCAGAGTATTTCATCAGTCTACCTGTTCTGTTCCCCGCTCTGTCTCTGGTGAATTCTCTCACCCTCCCCCGCATCTGACCTGTACCCCGGTTCTTGTGTAAATAAATAAATCTTTAAAAAAAAAAAAAAAGAGTAGAGTTGCCAATCCTTCTTACTCACCACTTTGCAGAAAAGGGGCCAGAACCACCACATCAAACCAATGCCCAACAGCAGCAACAGCACCAAAATAGCGATGAGTGCTCCAGTCCCATTTGACTAAAGAGAAGAGAAAAGCAAGATGGTCAGCAAAGCTAAACAACAAATCCTAAATGCTTGTTTTCTAAGGAGATAAAGGAAAAATAAAACAAAAGGCATGATAATGTCAAACAAGATTTCTATTACATTTCTCTAAGCTCTATAAATTATTTTATATTCAATTTCACACATGTAAAAACAGGTGATAATGAATATAAAATCTTCCAAAGTGTCACAGTCTGCTTGAAATTAGGTCTTAAAGAAAATAGGGGAAATCTATAGGGAATCAGATAGATAGAGTGAGAGAGAGAGGTAGATGATAGAGAGATAGTCCTTATTTTTTAAATCTCTGGGAAAGGATTATTTTAGTTACAAACATGATTACCTCTAAGCAGAATTTATGCAGAATTTTTCCAGACTTTTTGATGATGGAACATTACTTTATATATTAAAATATTAAGACAAGATGAATATAAAAAATCACCAAACAAATGATTAAACGAACAATAATGGCTTCTTTATTGAACTAACACTGTTTTATAAACTACTTATGATTCAAAGGTATAGGCTGACATCTCTCTAGAAGTATGTTACCATGCCACACCCATCAAGGAAGTACCCAACATTCTCCACCGTCATCCATTATGCCCCCTCCCCACTTTGCTGTCCCTCCTCTTACTACCATTTTGAGACCTTAATTCCTGAGTCAGATTTCTAGTGTTTGTTATTGGTTTAGTTTTATCTGACCCTTTGTTTTGTTTCTCTATATTCCACATAGAGTGGTGCCATGTGTTATTTGTCTCTTTTATTGTTTGTAGAAAACATGATAATATACATAGAAAACCCTAAAACTCCAGTAAAAAACTATGTGAAACAATAAATCAATTCGGAAGTAGCAGGATACAAAATCAATATACAAAAATCCGCTTTATTTCTATATGCAAAAATGAGCTAGAACAGGACGAAATCAAGAAAACAATCCCATTTATAACTGCATCAAATAGAATTAAACTTAACAAAGAGTAAAGTTAACAGGAAGTGAAGGACCTATACAATAAAAACTATAAGACATTATTAAAAGAAACAGAACACACTAAAAAGGGAAAGATATTCCCTGCTCATAGACTGGGAGAATTAAGATTGTTAAAGTGGCCATCTTATCCAAAGTGATATACAGATGCAACACAATCCCTATCATGGTATTCTTCAGGAAAATAGAACAAGCATGACTGAAATTCATACAGAAACTCAGAAGATCCTGAATAGCCAAAGTAATCATGATAAATATATCATCTTAATGCAAGGATGTAATCTCATGTCTTCCTTACCAGCAGATCTCTTTTTACAGTTCAAGCACTATCCTTACAAGAACCACACTGGTGTTTTTTCTCTTAATAAATGAAGAACTCAACCAGTCCTGTTATCTGTTCTAGCTTTGCTCCCATACCCCTTCTAGAAGCCATTTTGTCAAACTATGGGGTTCAGTTTAAGTCACTTCTTAAAAGCCTAGCTTGGACATTAGAATGCCCCACCTTTGCTATACAATAAATTGTTTTCTACACATTAATATCTAGCACTTATCACAATTTGTTTGTTCCCTTGCTTATTTCTGATAAACTTGTTTATGTTTATTTTAATTTCTCTTTTCTGCCACTATTTATTGCGAACTCTAGGAAGGCAGGGTCAATATCCAACCTACTTACCAACATATGCTCCATGTTTGACCTTTTAAAACCATTTACCAAGAGAATGAACACCAAAGGAATAAGACTCCAAAAGCCACAAGCACAAAAGAAGTGTTTCCTGAATTGTAGCTTGAAGATAAAGTTTCCAAGAGAGAGTAGCTTCTCCCAAACTCTACCTTCTGGGATACCTAATGTGTGTGTGTGTGTGTGTGTGTGTGTGTGTGTGTTTTAAAGGAAAGAATTCAGGGAAGAAAACAACTAAATAAATCAACACACTCTCTGGATGAAAACTTGGGACTGTATAGGGCAACTTTGTAAAGATACATTTTCTCTCATTCAAAACAAATACATAAAATCTCAGATGTCAGAAAGAGAGCCATATTTATTACAAAAACTGATAGAAAGAGAAGAGCGGAAGGTACCAGTATCAATCTTAGATAGCATTTTATTAAATGAGTCAGTCTATAAGTTTAATTTTCAACAGGTTGTTTGATTTCTCTGGACCTCTGTTTTCTAATCCTCAAAATAATAAAAGTTCCCAAAGCTTGAAACTCTAGGAAAAGGCATTATTATTCTATCTGCCTCAGAAAATCTCTATACACATTAACATTCCTGAAGCTTTAAATGGTTTTGCAATAAAAAACAAGTCCAATATATCTTATGGTTTATGCTGCTCTGAAAATTATTTTGAGGTATATTTTAAATAGACTTATTAAAACTGGAAGGCTGACTGTAATCAATATCTTTTCTTTTTTCCCCCTCATTATATTTCCAATATTCTATAGAACTAGGATTCCAAGAATCAACTTTGGGAAATATTAGGATAGATCAAAGTTAAGAGTCTTTCCAATACTAAGCAACAATGACAACAGCATTTAATCAGAACATTTTGTAATGGAATATGACATATAATACATAATGATCTATGCACAATAAGAGACAATAATCTTTTTGTAAACAGTTTTTGTAAATAATTGAAAAAAGAAGTAGAAGTGTTTTTTTTGTAATATTGGAAAATTTGCAACAACATAGATGGACCTTGATGGCATTATGCTGAGTGGAATAAGTCAGATGGAGGGAAAAATAGCACCATATGAGTTCACTCACATGTGGTACATAGAAAAAAAACAAACAAATGGTTAAGTAAAACAAAAACAAACTTTTAGAGAGCAAGAACAAAATAATGATTACCAGAAGGGAGAAGGGGTGATAATCAGATAAATGGCATCAATTGTATGGAGGAGGCCCATGAGACTTTTGGTGGTGGACACTGTGTGGTATGTAAAGATATTGATATTTACAGCACTACATACTGGAGATCTATAAAATGTTACAAACTAACATTACTTCAATAAAAAAATATCAAAAATAAATATCAGCAAGGAAGTGTTAGCAAAATATATTTTGTTTAGCTAATCAGAAAAAATTTTAAGTGCGTGCCATTTCCCTTAGCATCTGTTATTATCACAATGGAAAAAGATTACCATGTAGTGACTTTGCAATTATTCCAAAACAAATCCATATTCAAAGATATTGATTACAATCAGTCTTTGATTTAGTAAATCCATTTAAATTATAACTTTTAAAATAATTCTCAGAGCAGTATAAAACAAAATATTAATTTTTAGAAGATCAAGCATTAACCATACATGAACAATTAAAGCTATTCGTTGATTTCTAATTTTTCATCTGGACATAAGAGGGAATAACCATACAAGCTATTGATGTTGTTGATGTCAGTTTACAAATTAACCAAAACTAACCATCACCAAAGTATCACTTAGAATCTTTGATCATTTCATTGTATTTATCCCTCAGTAATTACAATGGCAACAGAAACTTTGTGCACACACACACACACACAAAACCTTCATAGAACTCTACTATTCACTATTAGAACATCCCTATGACACTAGAAGTTGCCATGTTACAAGACATTTACCCAAAAGAATTAATTTAAAACATAAGAAATTTTTAAAAACGCAGTCATCTAACAAAGTCTTGATGTAGAGAATGAAAATGTAAGTTCAACACTTAGTCACTGATATATCCTAAACACCTACATCAGTGTCTTACAGATACAAAGTTCTGGAAGTATATCAGAACATACCCTTCCTACTTAGAAAATTACTCAAAGTGCATCTTTCTACACAGAATTCTAAGCATTCATGATCAAATCAAGCAACTCTCTAAAGACTTGAGTACATTAAGCTCTAATAGCTAGGTAAATAGGGACATAACAGGAAAAGAACAGCATAGAAATACATAGAAAAATGTGACTCTTGTGGGAGAAATGCTGTCTAATGTTTAAATGCATTATGTAATGTGTTAATTAACATATCCCCAATTTATGGTGGGGGAGGGTGAGCACAACAGCATTCCCCATTGGACCTTCTCCGTTTCCCAGAAGATTGAGCCAGAGCATTCGTGGAAATGATTCACCATCTGGCTGTGCTATATCACTTCCAAAAGGGTTCTATGAACACTTGGCTTCCCCTTTTCTTAGAATTCAAACCCTGTGTTCAGAAATAAGGACATGCTACCTGAAGATGTGAAGCTGCTAAATGCATAGTTGGTTTTTTCCTTTTGGAGAATGTGCCGTGAGCGGGAAATTCAGAAAATTGTGCTAACAGAATATAAAGTAGATGGGCTAACCTTGATAAGTCGTTAAAAATCTTGATTTACCTTCCAAAAAAATTCTCTGTTTGGAACACTGACAAAGCACTGTGCATATCCAGGTGCAAATATACACTTATTGTGACACTATTATCTCAACTGACTCCAAAGATTGCTCTCTAATAACACCTACACAAAAACATATACTTTCTTAATACCTACAGATCTAATCTTTATCAAATCTAAGGTAAGCATAAGAGAAACAGGGTAGAGAAAGAAAATAATGCAATGAAACTCGAATTTGTCATCAATGTGTGAGACATAGCCCAACATACCACATGCCAGACATTAGCTCAGTTACTGCATAGCAAATTCTGGCTTTCCACTTCCTTTGTTTTTATTTGCCACAGCCATTGTCAGAGAACAAAGGACTTCAGCCATCAAAGGGAAATGATTTCATTGTTCACTAACAGTATAAACAAATTAAGCACATATCAAACACATAGAAGTGTAAGATACCACACTGCAAACTACAGACTTAAGAGTCAGCTGAAATGAAGTAAGATTACGCACAGATCTTTATCAAAGGCAGAGAGTAAAACCTTCTCACTTCCCGTTAGGCACCGCTCTCTTCAAATACCAGGCAGTTAAAAAGGTGCCAAAGTCATGATGTTGTACAAGTCTTCGTGGAAACCACAGGTTAGGTGGAAAGACAGGCCT